GACCCCTCCCTTATAAAGGCAGTGAAACCCCTAACTTCTCTGCCAGATTATAGTGACCCCTCCCTTATAAAGGCAGTGAAACCCCTAACTTCTCTGCCAGATTATAATGGTCTCTCCCTAACATAGGCAATGCTGATACTCCAAAGTCATGTAGTGTGTAATTGGTAGTCACAGTGATTTTAAATACAGTGATCAGCAAAAACACGAGACTATAAGTTTACAAGGATCATGATCATCTAGCAACTGTATCTTTAGAAAGACATAACTAAGATGCTCTAGGATTAGAATAATCACTCCATGAAATACCTTCATGTATCTGATGTGATACAGATACAGGTGGCAGTGTTATTTATTTGACCAGACATGATATCAATGAATTGCTGTAGTTCACAAGTTTGATTTTTTTTTATAGGTAAACTTTCCAATTTCAGTTAGGTAATCATAAAATTATCTTGGAAGACAAAATTTGTATTTCATTAGCATTTTAGTCAGCATAAAAATTGTTTGGGTTGAACTTTGGAATGACCTTTAATTTTACGGTGAGACCACCTTCTCGACATTTGGGTGTTGTATCGCATCAGAAATGGGGTAGTCTCTGTAACTGTAGTTGTATGTGTCTTTGTAAAAATACTGATGTGTAAGGATATATGCATATAAATTACTTGTGATGTTTTAGGTCAGTAAAACTGGGGCTGAAGGAATGGTCTTAGACGAAGCTAAAAACATCAACAAGTCTCTTTCTGCTCTCGGTAATGTTATTTCTGCTCTGGCTGATGGGAATGTAAGTTTCCTGTATTTATAAATCGAAGATTTGTAAAATGAATGTTTAAGGATTTATGAAAAATGTCTTGAAGATTAATTTGAAGATAGATGTTTTATGTATGTGTGTAATAACTACTTGAAGTCTTGTACGCTATAAAAACTCCCTATGATGGAAAACTAATGTAAAAACAAACCAGTTACCATAAGTTGTGTTGTCCAGTGGCTTAATGCTAAGCTTAAGATAATGTTAAACTTTGTCATTGTTCAGCTTTGTATTTGACAACAAACAAAGAAACCATTAGATGTAATCAATCTTGTTTACTATTTCTTATGTAAAATTTCTGTAATTCACTGGAAATTAGCATTAGTTAGTTTATCCTCAGCACTATCTTTAGAAATAAGAGTTGGAGCTGTCTTTAATTATTTACTTCAGTTTATAAAAATTCATGGTTCAAGTATTTACTGTGTAACTGTTTAATTTTTTCTTTTTAGGAAGGTCATGCAAGATTTAAGCATATGTGACGCAATAATAATTACTAAAGTATTCTAAATCTGAATATATTGTTTTCTTTTTAGGAAGGTCATGCAAGATTTAAGCATATGTGATGCAATAATAATTACTAAAGTATTCTAAATCTGAATATATTGTTAGAAAGACCGAGAATTTATATGTATATATAACAGTATTTTACAGTCATATCTTTAAAACTGTATGGCAGCATGAAAACAAGTGTGGAGGGGAGGGGATCAAGTGTTATTAATTACAAATGTGGAAATAGGCTTTTTTGCCTTTAAGAAGCATATTTATCAAAAAAGCTTAAATTACCTCAGACTCTCTTTGCACAACTTCATTCGTGGCAGTTTCAACTTACCCTGTGACTCATCTGATATCTGATTGGAGATACTTCTTTCAGTTCAACTTACATGATATGAATACCCCCCCCCCCACCGCACACACAAACAAAAACAAAATTAATAAAAATTCATGTCAATGGGAGTCGCAATTCAGGGAGAATTTTAAAATCTTAAGACTAAATCCTGATAGCTCAGGATAACAGGATCTCAGATGTTCCCTACACCACTGTGGTGGACATGGCCCTGTTCCAGAAAGTTCTAATATATATATAGTTCTGATACATTTTATTCCACTGCAACTTTATAGCTGTTTTAGTTGTCTCGTGACTTGCTGATTTGCAACAAACTCAGCCTTCAATAGTTGCTATTATACCTGTTGTTTGTGACTTCTGTATGTATAAAATATTGTTTTTATACTTCTATAATTATTTCTTTTACCTAAACTTTGCTTAGGAGTAACCTAACTTTTCTTGACTTGGTATTATTTTGTAAACTGTGAATATTTATAATTCCAATATTCAGAAGACCCACATTCCCTACCGTGATAGTAAACTGACTAGAATTCTTCAAGAAAGTTTGGGAGGAAATGCACGCACCACTATCATCATATGTTGTTCTCCAGCTTCGTTTAATGAAACCGAGACTAAGTCTACGCTCGACTTTGGTAGAAGGTGAGGATTCTTTAATATCACTTGTTTTAATTGAATCAACTAGACTAAAGTATACACTCCTGTGATTACATAGAAAGTACATTTTATATTGGTATTAATTTCACTGTGTATTATTTGTTAATTTTATATTGACTGTTATTTTTACATTCTTTATCAAATGTAAAAGCCTCATATTCCATTGTACAATATATTTGTTTGAAAGTACAATTAATTTACACTTGATTGATAGTAGCCATATACTGACGTGTTTTTGTCATCGTTTTATCTTTCTGTGAATTTATTATTGTTTCATCATAAATATTGTTTGCATCTGTTATATATCATAATATTTCATATTTAATAAATCTTTTAATCTGTTCTTATTACGCCACTGTAAAACCACTATTACAACATCTGATATATACAAAGTGAAGCATTTTAGTAGTTTTTAAAATATAGCTTTTAAGTGTTTTAAGAGTTTACAACCCAGCACTGGTCTTGAAAAACATGGAATATTCATTTATGATTAGGATATTTTTCTGTCCTGTGTTTTAATTGATTTATGCTTGTATGAAGGTTATCCTCTCTGGCATGTAATATATGAAATTGAAGACAGTTACAGGATTTTAAGCTTATTATTATAGTTTGTTGTTTTGACATTTATTCAGTGCCAAAAGCAAAATAAGTTGGGTAATCGTTATTAATATAATGGGGTTGGTCAATGTGACCGACCTTGTAACCACAAGATAACCATCAGAGTTTCCATACTATAACTTTTAATGTATTGTGTATTGTAAAAAAAGTTTAGCAAGCTTTCAGTAAACATTACAACTCTTTTGTACATAAAAGTTAAGAAAACAAAAATTAAATCCGATTTTTTAATTAAGTACTTTTACTAAAGATATGTCCATGAATATATGGAGTCAGAATTTGGATTGTTCTGATTGCAAAGTGATTTTCATGATTATAAATACTTTTCGTCATCTGAAAATTTTTGAATTTCATTTGCATAACATCAAAAATTTCCTAAATATATATATTAAACGTTTTTTTTAAATAAAACTTTATATTTTATCTGTTGTTTTCTCTACCATAACTCTATATGGAGTTGGTTGATTTGACCGACCTTGTAACCACCATAAAAAACAAACAAAATAAATCAAAATTACCCCATTTTTCTTTCTAGAATGACTGCAACTTGTAACATAAAACTACATTTGTTTATGTAAATAACTTAAAGCTTGTAACAGTCTTCATCTGTGTGTACTTAATGTTATTGTTTTATTGCTCTTTGAACCATTTCAAACTAATAATCTGCCATAAAGGTTGTAAATCATTCATCACATACATAGCTTGTGTTACCATATTGAATGATGAACACACGAGCTGTTCACATGCATAGCTTGTGTTACCATATTGAATGATGAACACACGAGCTGTTCACATGCATAGCTTGTGTTACCATATTGAATGATGAACACACGAGCTGTTCACATACATAGCTTGTGTTACCATATTGAATGATAAACACACGAGCTGTTCACAAGCACAGCTTGTGTTACCATATTGAATGATAAACATACGAGCTGTTCAGAAGCACAGCTTGTGTTACCATATTGAATGATAAACACATGAGCTGTTCAGAAGCACAGCTTGTGTTACCAATTGAATGATGAACACATGAGCTGTTCAGAAGCACAGCTTGTGTTACCATATTGAATGATGAACACATGAGCTGTTCAGAAGCACAGCTTGTGTTACCATATTGAATGATGAACACACGAGCTGTTCACAAGCATAACTTGTGAAGAATTATTATCATCATTTTACCTATTCTAACTTTATCTAACATAAAAGTCTTTAAGATATTAAAGATATTATAACTTATTTAATATTAAAATTTTATTTATTATCTATGTTTTGATGCCAAATTTATTTGTATATCATGATAATAAAATTTAAACTCATAAATATAGAACAACAAACAGTTACTTGGTGAATTAAATTTATTGATGCATAAAAGTTATGAGCAAAACTGTAAGTGGATGACTAATGGATTTACTATTTGGTTTTGAAATAAATTTTTTACTACAGCAAAATTCTTACGTTATATACTTTATTGTGCATTGAGATTGTTGTAGAATTTCTTTTTTTTTGTTTTATCCTTTAGAAAATGTTTGTTTTATCTTTCTCAGGGCAAAAACCATAACAAACAATGTCATTGTCAATGAAGAACTAACAGCAGAAGAATGGAAGCGTAGATATGAAAAAGAAAAGGAGAAGAACACTAAACTTAAGGCTCAGCTAGAATGTGCTGAATCTGAATTAAATCGCTGGAGGAGCGGTAGGTAACTTTGAAGGAATAGTTTTTGTGGAAAAATTAACTAAAGGATTGATCTTTTCTTCAAACTGGATCTAGTGGTAAACATTACAGAAAGTTTTATTCTAACAGGAGGAACGAGGATTAGTTATACTGTTATTTAGTTTTGTAAAACCTTAGAAGTTGAACTTATTACAAAATAATCACCTGTAGTAGAATATGGGACGAGGTTATAATAAGAGAGAAATATAATAATCAGGTCTGTATGCAGAATATTTGAAAGGGGGAGTTGTACTTTGTGAGATCAAAAGCCAACATGTATTGTTCAAAGCACAATCAATATGCAAAGCATGGTAATGTTATGGAAGTTTGGAGGCATACCCTAACCAGAAAGTTTGCAAAAAATAGGTGCTATGAGATTAAATTTGGAAGCAATTTTGTATGAAATATAACTTAAATAAATTAAATATAACTTAAAAAAATGATTGCAGCTCTGCTATAAGTATATAAGCATAATATTTGTTACTTCACAAAAACCCCCTTGAACCCACCATGTGTATGTACAAGATAGTTACAATAAAACTGATTTATAGCACATACACGTATTGTTGTAAAGTGGAGTAAATACTTTTTAAAATAAAGGTTTGCACCTATTTTACTCTAGGGTTATAAAAGTAGTTTTGGCAACATGTAACTAGTTGAAGAAAGACTTCAGTGATCGTAAGAAGGGTTTGTCACTAAAGAAATAACTTACATATACACTGAATTAGATTTCTTTCTCCTTTAAGTATGTTGCTAGTTAAAAGTTTTGTCTAAAATTCAAATATGTTCAAGTTGCAGAAACCTTTTAGTTTCCCGTTTATTGTATTACATAACTTAATCATATTAAAGTAATTTATAAGTAAATATGTGTTGGAGCTTAGAAGGTTTTGGCTAACAATAAAGCATTATTAAACAAGGTGAAACAGTACCACATGATGAGCAACTTCCAAGCAAGGACCTAGAGACTAGTACCATCAGCTTGCCCGAGTCTGCTCCACCCCCAGTGTCTGCTGAACCAATGACCAACGAGGAACGAGCCAAATTTCAAGAAGAACAGTCTCGTCTCTTCAGTCAGTTGGATGAAAGGGATGATGAAATTGATCGTCAGAGTCAGCTTATCGAAAAGTTAAAAGAACAAATGATGGAACAAGAAGAGGTCTGTATACTTAAAAACCCGAATATCTTGTTACACTATCGTTACCGACCTGTTGCTTGTTACACTATCGTTATCAGCCTGTTACTTGTTACACTATCGTTACCAACCTGTTGCTTGTTACACTATTGTTATCAGCCTGTTGCTTGTTACGCTATCGTTATCAACCTTTTACTTGTTACACTATTGTTACCAACCTGTTGCTTGTTACACTATTGTTATCAGCCTTTTACTTGTTACACTATCGTTATCAGCCTTTTACTTGTTACACTATCGTTACCAGCCTGTTGCTTTGTTACACTATCGTTATCAGCCTATTGTTCGTTACACTATCGTTACCAGCCTGTTGCTTTGTTACACTATCGTTA